AGCAGAAGTTCTGTTAATCAGTTACCTGCTTTTTTTTTTTTTGATCATCAATGACATACTTCCTAGATAGGGAAGTCCCATCAATCAACACTTTATAATCCTCCTTAGAACACAGAATGAGATAATATACATATTCTTGAAACCACTATGATAAAACTACGAAAACCAGTGATCAAAAACTGGGAAGAAGTGCTTCCACTCTTGCTAAAACTGTAAATGAACCTTTTTGTAAGGAATACATATTGTTATATATATATACACACCTTTACAATACATCGCAATAGTCAATTCTAAATAAATATGTCATAACTTTTATAAATCTTAATTAATTATATACAGCGACAGCAATGAAGATAATTATGGAACATACAAGCAATACACAGAGGACTCACAAATAACAAGTAGTGTTAATCTTATTAATGGTATAAAATACTATTAAAAAAATAGTAAAAAGTTCTACATTAGTATTCTATAAGTGAGCCCATTACACAGGGTAATATACTTTGTTTTCAATCTGCTATAAAGTTTATCAATGTAAAATTATGAAATATTGTTTAACATGTCCCATGTTTCTTCTCAGCTTTTAGGTTTAGGTAAGTATATATAACCTCAATAATTTAACAATAGGATTTTATGTATGCCAAGCAATGATTACAAATGATCCACTGGCTTCTTTACCATCAAGAGTTTGTTTCTTCACATTTGCTGTATGCTTAGAATCATTGTCTTGCTGGAAAATTCATCAGGCAGAGATTCATTAGGTTCCTGCGGGAATAGCATGATGGATCAAAGTCTGTCAGTTTGTACTTGTCAGCAGTCAGGGTGCCATCAATTTTGTGTATATCACCAACACTAGTGGCTGAAATGTAGCCCCAAACTTCTACTGATTCCTTGCCATGTTTCACTAAAATATTGTACACTGACTATAATACTAGTTTCCTCTCTACCATAGAAATATAACTGTTGTAGGTTGTTGCCAACCAAATTCAACTTTGTCTCCCAATTCTTTGTAGTCCAATGTTCATGTCAACTTTTTGATTTGATAACCACTTCTCAGCAGAGATTTCAAGCTTCTTAAACCCAAGCAGAAGCTCTAAGCATCTGGCTGAAAATCCTGATTTACCTATTGGATGGTGACAACATCCAATAATATTGGCTGAAAATTAATCCAAACCATGTTATTATCCACCTTTTATAAATAGATCTGAAGTTCCATGAAGCACTGTCATTTGTTTCAAAACTAATTTCACATTGAGAGCATAATGTGCAAAAAATTACGGGTTTAAAAGTGTTAAAACACTTATAGAAACTGCTTCATGCTAATGTGTATCTTACTGAGCATGAGGTAAAATTCATACCTATATTTACAACATGATAGTTGGCAAGATATGTACCATCATCTACCTCATAAAGAACATATCCTGAGATATTTAACATCACTTTTGGAGTGTTTTTTAGTTTTCTACCTTTATCATTTCAATTATTAGTGCTATTTTCATGTACTTTCTTCAGTGTTTCATACAGTTCCTATTTCAATATAGGTCTTGTTACAATTTTTCACATGGAGTATTCTTCTGCAACCAAAACTTTGATTTCTACATGTTTGCCATATGGTATTTTCTGTTCTGAAAGCCATGATGTATATTAAAAGAAAAGGACTACATTAAAAACAGCAAGACCAAATCTATGATGAAGTAGAACATTTATGCTGAACAAGCAATAAAGTCTTAATAAAAATATAATGCTGCATAAAGTTACCAGAGAACAGGTTATAGCATGTGATATAAGATGTGTCCTAGTCTTTGGGGGTGATTGCTGAAGTAAGACCCACATAGCTAATGTTGAAACATTGAGACACAAATTAATATTTAATGGATTTGAAAAACAAACATCAAATAAATTTACCAAAATATTTTATAACAAATATAAACTTACTACATAAATATCAAGATATAAGTATTAAATATATTATGCTTTAAATTTGAGAAAACTTTAAAATACAATGTGTTTTAATAAGGTAATTTTAAAAAAAACATCTTGGCACTATTTTTAAACATGTATTAAAGATATTAACACGCGTGCATATACAAACTGTTATAAAAGGTACAAGACAATCTGAAAATTAGTAGTCATAGTAGACTGTATGGGTGGATGATGGGTGTTATACTAGTTCAGATAACTTGGTAGAGATTTTATGTTAGTATACTCTGAGCCTTCACTATCATAATGGAGGATGGAATGCCAACTTCAGGAGGTGATTTTTTCCTCACCACCCCCACTGGTAGAACTTTATTTCTTTTCTTATTATAGCAGTCACCTTCCCACAACTGTCTGTAAGCAGTGAAGGGTTATATAGATGTGGGACCTTGTGCACCCAACATCCTTGTTCTGTTGTTTTATTTTATTTTTTCTTCTGTTCCTCTTTTATTCTTTACATGTGAGGCCTTGTGTAAGATGGATAGATGTTGTACCTCCATCACTAAATACATTCTACTTCCAGTCTTCTCCAAAAAGTATGTTACATATTATATCTCACATATAGTCTGTGCCCTGGTGACTTTATTTTGGTTATGCAGCAATATATCTTTATCAACTCTTAAACCCGTAAATTTTTGCCCATTGTGCCGGAATTATTTTCATGATTTCCTAATAATTATTACCATACCTTATAAAATTTCAATGTTCTTAATTTTGTGGATAATAACACAGTTTGGATTAGTTTTTTAGTCAAAGAGACATAAATGTTATTGGATGCTTTCACCATCCTATGGGTAAATTGAGATTTTCGTCCAGACACTGGTAGCATCTGCTCAGGTATAAAAAGTTATAGCTTGTTGTGTGTTACACAAATACACACACACATAATTTCTTTTGCATATTATAAAAAAAACAACATACAAAACAAATACTGATATTGAAATACTTTCCACAAAAACAAAAGAAATAAAACTCTCCACACTGCACAGACATCAGCTTTCAAGATGAAGTTTAGTTAAAGGGTAAGAAATTTATGGAAGCTGCATCCAAGAGCTTGACTGAATGGGATTGATGCCATTCCAGTTTCTTTGGCCATTTTTTTTTCACATAAACAGATACTGATTTCAAGGTTTTGATGGAAACTTATGAGCCTTTATTTAATTCATATCCTTGTATATTATCTTGTTACTAGCAGAGACCAGCAAAATATTTGTGATCAAATTAGTATCGTTATTGCAACAGTACTTCTTTAAATACAAAATTTCTTAAATAATACAAAAGAATTCTAATTGCAGACACCAAAATCTGTAAGTCCACTTGTCTTAAGCCTAACATTAGTTAATCCTTTATTAAGTTTGACTTATATTCAATAAAGAGATAAATTATCACTATGACTTGTGTATGTTGTTTTAGTTTAGTTCGGACTAAGTGGTACTGTACTTAATACTATCAATAAATAAACTTATAATGTTATTCTACGACCTAAAATTAGACCCTTTTATAAACTTTGATAAGTTTTTTTATATATTGTTGTATAAAATGTCTACTAAAGTATATTTACATCTGACTTTTGTTTACATCTATTGAAATGAAAAAAATCACCCAGTTTCAGTACAATGGGTTGTTCAGTTCAAGGATAATTTGTTTATAACCACACTCTTCACTTTGTAGATTGATATGTATTTTTCAGCCTGTTCATGTCTTAAATTCTCTGCTATGTGAGTTTTTATCACTTTCATGGAGAACAACAAAGGCTCCCTTTTTCAGAATATTGTGCCTTTTGGTTCAACACTGTTCAATAATCTTACTATTTGAATATCTTTCCTTGGCAAGAGCTGTGACATATTCTTCTAGTCATAAATAACCACTTAACAGAATTGCAGTGTCAGTGATAAAGAATTTGATCTGAACCAAATACACAGGTGTTAAACATGTTGGCCATAGTACCACAACATTCAACATGGTATTAACATACAAGAAACTTCCATATAAATTGCAATTAATACTCCTCTATACTAATTCCTACCAAACCATGTAAATATGTTGTCTAGAGAGTTTTGTAATCCTCTGCAAATCATACTGGAATGCCAGGTTTATCAAGACATAACTATGAGAAGAATTTTATAAACAGGGGTTTCTAGAATGTAAAGCTGAGAAAGAATTATGGTAATGAGATGAATGATTTTAGTGTGTTAGAAATGTAACACGAGGTTTGTGATACTTTTCTATGATAGCCATACATTTTCAATAAATACAGCTAAAAATGGTGATAATTTGACCAAATCTCCTTTAAATACGTGAAGTTTTAGCATATAAAACACAATTTGGCAGAATAACTATAAACAGCTTTAGGAACTTACACAATCACAATGATAGTGAGGTTACTAAAAATTCAAGTTTTTAAAATTCAAAGCAACTCATTAAAATATTTATTACAATTAATAAAAAAAATTAAAAATACTTGATGTCAGACTTACTCAAAGCAACTCATTAAAATACTTATCACAACTAATAAAAAAAATAAAAAATACTTGATGCCAAACTTAATGAAAAACAATTTTATAAAAGTATGTTCAAAATGATAGTCTTAAAAACTGGATGACACTTGGGTATGTGCCATTTATGTCAAAAATACTTTAAAATACAAGGAATACAATCCAACACATATCAAAGAAATCAAAGATCTTTTTGCTATTTAAATCTTAAATTTAATAATGAACTGCCAAACTATACTTGCTATTAAAAAAAAGTAAGTATATTATATATGAAATTTTTTCATGAATGAATAAAAAAAAAGTACAAACTATTACAAACAAAAGTACTTTTCTTCAAATCTTGGTAATTATACCCAAATAAAGACTGGTTAACTATGAAATATTTTGGATGTATAAAACTTACTTTGAGGTAGGAACGTACAGAAAGCCAAGTTTTAATATTACGAACTTTGTTTAAACGGAAATGCGGAAGATCAAATCTACGAGCACGTCGAGCTGATGTAATGTGACAAAAGTGTTTGGCATACAGAAATCTCTGTAGTAAAAAAAAAGGAAATCACAAAAACTGAAAATAAATTGTATATTACACTTATTGATTGCTACATTAACTATATATGTTGTTCTTAAACATCATGTAAAACTTGATTCTTAGTTTTTTCAATATTTCACATTACTATTTTTAAGTCATTATTATTATTTTTTATAACACAATCCATTTTAGTAGCAATCTTATAGTCTTAAAAATTTAGCACTAAACTGTTGATACTTACATATTATTTTGGATCAAATAATACCTGTTTAAGTTTGGAAATTTTATGGAAATATTTGTTCCCTTAACCCTATGAATATTAATATAGAGCACAGTTGGAAAATATAAGGTACGTGCTTGAGGATATACAGAATGATAGTGTTCAGGTGTGAAAAATAATATTTCACCAAGTCAGAAGTATATTACAGTATAAACAATAGCAAATAACACTGAGTTTGAAATTTTAAGTACAAACAACCCAAAATTTAAAAATCTCCTAAGAGAAAGAATTACTATAATGTGCAAGACTTCTATACAGTTTTTTAGATTTAAGGTAGGATTATTTATCTTATCTACACGAGTCTGAAAAACAAAAACCAGAACATTCTTTCTACATTGCTGAACCAAAAATGGATTTTTCAGCTTAATTTTCTAAAATACGCTACAATAAATTCACATCCATGTTTTTTTCTGGGGGGGTGGGGATCAGTTCTAATCATCTGTTTTATTTAGTTTTTAATAAAGCATTAAAACAAAAATGACTAAGAAGCTTTTCACTCTCAGATATGATTGGTTAGACTTAGTGAGCTAGAATGTGTATTTTGACTTTAGTACTGTTTTTCTCTTATGTTTATAATTATTTCTTCTCTTTTTAGATTAAATACATAAGTAAACTGCCATATTTAATACTGAGTATAATAATTACAAGTTTATAATGAAAGTTCCATTTTCATTTTGAGAAATAAGTTTAGGCTTATCCTTATTTTGTACAATAATATTTTCTGTATCACAGTAGTTAAGTAATGTTCTTATTTAACCAAGACATATTAATGTAATGTGTCAATCCATGACCATGAAATTACATTACTCAAAATATATGTGGAAGAGTTCTTTTAAAAGTATTCAATAATTTTTTCTAATATCCTGCCTAGTACAAATTAAGCTCAACACATTCACACACATAAAAATGATGACCCTTTTCGTGTTAAAGTTTGTAATAATTATATATTTAAGTGTGAGAGTTTTTGGACAAGAAATCTCAGGTAGCTTCAACAAAATGTCTTTAAAATTTCGATATGGAGGCTATAAAACACTAAAATATGTAATAATGCACTTGGATGGTATCATAAGATTAAGGCCTAAAACATTTTTTTGAAATAGCTTTCTATTTATTATTTGAGAGATACATGTATCATTATACCTTGTAATTTATGAAACAATTGGAGAAACAATGTTTTTCTGTGGGCAATAAGGATATCACAGTATTTATTTTACCTCTTAAACTAAAATCTGAATATTGATAAAAAATTTACAGCCATGATGAATTATGAATAGCAGAACTTCCTTATCAGAAAACTTACCTGTTTAAAAGTTCTTTCTGCCACTGACAATAGGAAGAAGTAAAACACACTGAGGGTGAATCTTTCAATAGCTACAATCAAAACCACCAAGTTCATCCTGAAACATAAACCTTTTTGTTAGAAAAAAAAAATATGTGTTATTCCTGCAAAATAATATTAAGTGAAAAATGCACAGTTAAGCAAAAACATCATTTGTATATTTATCTGGAATATTTATTATTATAATAACTAGTTAATTTTCTTTCTAACTTTTTATGATGATGAAAGATTTTGATGGTAAAATCCTTGATGCATCGCTAATAGTACAGTAGTGATCATAAGTCTGAAAACAAAAGGAAAAACTATTTTTACTATAGGAAGTTGGGAGTTCTGTGAGCCAGTGTATTATGTAAAATGTGTTGGTTGATCTATAACAGCTTAGAAATGAGATGATGAATGCCTCATCAATGATGGTATTATGAAGGAGTAGCATCTTCACTTATCCTACAATATTCAGTGAATAACGTTCAAATGACCTTAGCCTTAATTTTCAGCATGATAATGATCCAAAATATACTGCTCTACTACATAATAGGTATTTGGAGAAGAAAGAAAGAGCTAATGATTAAAAAGCTGTGAAATGACCAGTCTAAAGTCTTGGTGATGACCTAATGGAAGTTCTGTGGTACCACTCGAAAAGTAATGTTCAAAAAGAGAAGAAAGTTACTCCAAAGCAATTATGAAAGACTACAGCAAAAATAGAAGATATTTATAGTTTTTTAGTCTACAAAATCCTGGGAGTATCCAAAGCTGATTGATAGTATCATATAGTTAAGGTTAACCCATTCACTGTTGTTGGGACATATTTCCCAGCAACAGTAAAAGGAGGACCTACTATATATTAATTAATACATTTTTATGCTCATACTAATTATTATAAATATAACATGCAAACCAAAACAACATTTTTTTTTTCCAACCGTTTTTCAAAACTTGAATGCTGATCCCTTGGACTCGAGACTTTTGACTCATACTTCATGGTTGATAAAATTAATTCAACTTCAAATGCTTTTTCACTAAATACATTAGATGTTACTTTTCCAGGAGCAATAAAATGTAAGCAACAAGAAACCTACCTCCAAGAAGACCCCAGAACAACCTTTTGTAGAATCTCAGTCACTCTAGCTACCTCATCAGTACTAGGCATATTAAGTTCCAACACATCAGAAGTCACATCCTGCAGGGCATCACAAGCTACACTGTTCTGAAGCCTGTAGAGTAGTGGAAGCAGCGATACAAGAATGCTGAATAATAAGCCAATGATGAGGTACTCGTTGCTTTGAGTGCTGAAGTCCACTTTTCTTACAATGGCTGAGCTGATATCCAAGACTGTTAGATCCACTTTCTTGCATTCATTCCGCTCCCAGATTGTGCAGCTCACTTTGCAAGGTGCAAGCGACATAAATGTTTTAGAAAGCAGAAGAAAACACTATGATAATAGCTAAACAGAAAGGCTGACACACACACACACACACACAAACACACATTTTAAAAATTAAAAAAAAAGATAATATCACTAAAAATCATTCTATAAACATTCTAGCAAACTGTTTGCTGTCTTGATCCTTTGTGATTTTATTTCAAAGGACCAAATTTTGTAATAGTTTTCAGAGAGAGAGTTGTGATTAAAAAATCATATTACTTTATCCCCTCCCCTCAGAAAAAAACATCTCATTTGACTGTGAATACTTGGCAGCAATATTATATCAATAATATTAAAATTTTAACCATATTATTATTTGACTAAGTTTTTTAATGAGCTTATAGCAGAGTTGATGTATTATGTTGATGTATTTCTATTAGGTCAGTTTCTTATATTTGGGAAGCCAAACATTTTATAAACATTTTTTGAAGGAAATATGAAAAGCTTAAAAGAAAGTTGAGATTACAATTTGAGACATTCTTGGATTCATTCTAATATATAAAATTTTTGTTATTATATGTAGATTTTTCTAAGTTTCATGAAAGTAATTTTTTACCTTTTCTGTTAGATAAAATTGTTGGGCCTGAACTATATTAGCTACTGCAAGTTAAATGACAGGTAAAAAGTGCAATGTAACTCTATGCTTTTTTAATAATTACATTCACAATTTTCATGACATGTTCTGAAAATACACTGTATAATCAAATATATTCAAGCCAATATTTAATGTTCCACAATATATTTTCTATAACCACACAACAAAAAGAAGACTATTACCATAATGCAAACTTTAAGTGTATTTCCCAATTTGAAGATTGATAAAAATGAACAATAAATACCACTGAAACTCTTGCTTCTGTACATTTCTCTCTTCAACAGTTTAATGTTAATTAACGCTGAACACTGGCATGAAATACTGAATTTCAGGAACAGAATGCAACTACTCAGGATAAGATTAGTTGGATCCTTATTACTTTTAGAAATCTATAATCTCACCTATTATAACACAGAACAGCAGATAACGAAACAGTTGCTACAAACAAAATAGGAAATGTTTATCATGCAGTTAATGTGACTATCACTTATTGTTCTTAAATATCTATGTTTATATACAAAATGAACACCACAAAAAACCACGATCCTGAGCACCATGCACTACTCAACAAAACTGAAGGCCACAAGAAGCCACAGGGAAAGGGAGCGGATCACTACCTGTTCCTGAGCGTCTGCCTACAACAAACAGAAAACAAAACCATCGTCACTACTGTAGTCAAGAGAGAATTTCAGATGATAATAAAGCATCATGTAACTGGGGTGAAAAAAAAATACGTAATTATAAAATGATTAGAAAGATTTTAAAAAATCTTACCTTTTTCACAACCAGTGTAGTTGCCAGTAACAGGATGGGGAGAAGCCTAGAAATGTTAGAGAAGTACATACACATATAAATAAAACCAAAACACCTGAAAGTTAAAGACCATGAAGAAATAAAACTTACTTAACAGTTCTACTTTAATACACAAAACTGAAAACATAATTCATTAACCATTACAAAAATGAACCTGGGGAGGTTTCCCACTCATACTCATTAAATTATAGTGATGCATGCTGATTCATCATTGAGCAAATATATTTTTTGACCAATCACAAGTATATAATGTCAGTATATAATAAATCACAGCTAGCAAATAGTAGTATTTGACAATAAGATCACAACAATAAGTAAATTGTTCAAAACAATTAATGAATAATCAGTTTTCTATGTCTTAACTATGATAAGGCACAATTACTGTTATTAAATACCATCAAATTGTAACCATGAGTTCATTTTGATACAAAACTAGTGTCAGATGACCAGTCATGTGGTTTGATATGCAAATATATACTAATGGAGCTCACACCCACAAATACTCATTTGGTGCTACAGCCACATATATAATCAGAAAATGTTTCTGGTGTATATGATCATTTCGATGGCTAATGCAAGTTCTATTCTATATTGATGTGGCATGCTGGAGATAAGTGAATCAGTGAGGTGCTTAGGTCCACTTCTCAAGAGTTGCTTCTAGTTCATCAATACTGTTTACAAGTGAAATATGCACTATCAAGCATCTTCCAGGGTATTCTATACACATTTAGTTGGATTTAAATCAAGAGAGCATGCTGTCCAGACTAGATGCTTAATATTCTCTTCTTTATAAAGTTGCTAATCAGTTGAATATGGTGGGTCATATGTTATCTATTAGAAAAATATTCTGAATAACAGTACCTGAACAGGGCAACACTATGGTTAAGAATGCATCCTTAGTATAGCACATACAGTACATAAAAGTTGATTTAGCCACCAGTATCTCTGTACAGACCAGTATGCCATCACAGCCGGTTATTGCATGAAATTTGGGTTGGATCTAGTCCTAGTCAGTTTCCAAATGCATACATGTCTTGTATCTGGTTGTAATGTGAACCTGAAAACACATGTTCTTGTAACCATTGAAGACGTGTTGTTTTGTAGCAAATGTTAAAGGAATGTACACCATTGGTAATTTGGCATAAAAGTCAAACTCATAAAGCCTGTTTCTTGCATGCTGACTTTTCATTCAATTACTGCTCTAAATTGTTAACGTTATGTAGCTGAAGCTCATCAGTTGCACTGAATCCCTATTATCAAGTGACATTAATGAACAGTAGCCTCCCCATTCCAAGTCTTCAGCTAACAATGTTGGTGATATGAAAGAGTCCACATCATACTAACCACACTTGTATCCATGCTGCAATGACTCGCTGTATTCAACTAGCTTCTAGCTGATCATCATGGAAATGTTCAACTGTCTCGATTGAGGTCTTCGTATGTTTCACTTCACTTTTATTTATGACTAAAATTTGCATATCAGAATACATGCTGTTTATCAGACACTTGTTTTAACATAACATAATAACATCATCATAGCTAGTAAACAATAAAACTTCAACTATCCCTTTACTGTCTGAGCAGCATGTAGTACTTTAGAGTACAAAGCAAACTATAATGTTATATGAAAAAATTACTAAGAAACCAGATGATAATCACTAAGTCCTGAAAAGGCCAAATGAAATGAGATTAATCAAGAAAGATCAACACACATTCAATCACTCAAAAGTCATGATGACCAGATACCAAACATATGGTTTAACTTTGGCCACCATTTCACTTTTACAGCATTAATCCTGCAAATGATGGCTTAAATGAGTTAACAGGGAAAGTGATGGCAAAATAAGTGAAGCTGATGCCAAATGAAAGTGACATTTAATGTTGTAAGTAACACAAGTACTTCTGCATCAGATGGACAGTTCATGTGCTAAAGCTCAATATAATGGAAAGGGACAGTCCACACCATATTTATTGCACTATTCTATAAGCTTAGCACTGCAGGTTACCTTTTCTAGTTTGTTAAATTTTGGATTTTAACTGCTAGGACTGACAGAATTTGAATTAACTATGTGTTCTCTAGTTGCTAAATCTAACGAAGGTGACTGCTGTTGAGAATGGTGCACTGATGCAAATTTTATACCATAAGATATCAGTGAATTTTACAACAATTATAAAATCCCCTAATAAAAAAAATGAGTCTTTGAAGCATGGTTTCTTAATATATGAAGGTAAATTATACACATTTTCAAAGGTAATGAAAAAAAAAAAGAAAGTAAAGAACAATAGTTGAACAAACAAATTGTTATTTCAATATCTGAAGCCATATCACAAGAAACTACTATGATACCTACTACATCTAAATTAGACAAAGTGCATTCAGCAGCATAAATTACGAGAATTTTGATATACAAAACCTAGATGCAGACATTTAAAGTAACAAATGGTTAAGTATTAATCTAAAAACTTATATTTTTTACCACATTAATTTCAGGCTCAAAAACAGAGCTATTTGGTATTTAATTCATACTTAATCCAGTATCATTGACTATATGGTTATCTATTGAGGGCAATGACTTGACGAAATGTCAAAAACAAATCTGAATGATAGTTTTTATCTAGCCTGTTTCTGGAAGATACATAAATACAATTAAAAATCTTGGTGTGTATTATGTGACTTGCATGGTATTGACAATGATCACAAAATTTCTATGTTTAATTTTTTTCCCTCTTAGGCTTTTTTTCTTTCTTAATTCCAGAAAATTGGTTTAGAATTCCTAAAGGAAAAATATTTCATATAAATCTAAGTTATTATGAAAATTATTATTTTTTACCAAAGAGCTTATGTTACATACTGTAATTTATTATCACACACTAGAAAATAGTTTAGAAGAAAAAATTGCAGTGGTCCTAATTAAAACAAAACACCTGTTTCAGTGCTTGAAATGTGTAAAGTTTAAAATTAAGCTACAGCAATGCTATTATAGCTCACCTTACAGAATACCTGTAAAAGACAAAATATCTAATATTGTGTACAATTCTAAACTCTGAGTGATGAATTTACAATATTTGCATTAAGTCACAATTTTTATTACTTTGGGTATATTTCTATATGGTCACTTAATGCCACTGACACAAGCCATGGGTCAAAGTCCATGTCATCACGTTTGTTGACTTGCATTCAAAATTTTATTGAACTACTATTTCATGAATGTATATCAATAAGTTTTGTATCAAATTGTAGATTATAATTCAAATTTTAGTATCATACATTAGTTAAAAAAAAATCCTAAATATTGATTTTTGTGTGTCATGTGGTATGTTGAATGCAGCACTGATTCAAATTAAATGTTTGAGATGTTCAAATACAGTCTATAGTTTCTTATGAATTAGATACTTAAATTACCATTATTCACAAGCTAAAATGTAAAATAATAACCTATCTTTTCTATTTTCTGAGATATTAATATATTTATTGAATCAACAATGGTGGCCCTGCCCACCTCTTCACTTTTTAAAAATACCTGCTTATGTACACCTATTTTGCCCAATGACATGTGTATAACCAACAGAAAGCTCAGTGGTTTTTTCAGCTTCTGTGAAGCTTTCATGCGGCAAACTCTTTCTTTTCATGCTAAATTCCAAGGGTTAAGGTCAGACATTAGTGAGCTCAAAATTTAATATTTTTTTAGACCCAAATACAGCTTAGTTACTAAGCTTGATAAATTATATTGGAATTCTGTGGTATTGATATAGTAATTTACAATTTTTCGTTATTTTAAAACGTATATAAAAACCTAAAAAAAATTATTTTGCTTCACATCGTCCACATGCAAAATTTGATATGGCTTAGCAACCTATGGCAAACAGCAAACGAGTACAAAGTTCATAACTAGAAGAGATAATTGTTTGCTATACTTTTTTATTTACTGTTCTATGTTTTAAGAAAAATAAGTTTAAGTACTTATTTGTAAATAGTAATAATGTATGTACATATATAATGTATTATAACTGAAATGTGACTGTATTTTACAAAATACTAGTCCACTAAAACACAGCCAAGACAGGTCACTTTAAAAAGGCCAGTTTTATATTCTTGGATATGGTAACATGAGTGCATGTGCACTGCATCATTGCAACTTCTGTAATGTTAGCCAGGCACTGTTGAAATATCACTATAACACAAATAATAAATATATATAGATATATAATGTTATGAGATTTAAGCTCTTTAGACTAAACATTTGTGTTGTCGGGTTATAATTTGTAGTTATTCTAGAACGAAAAAAGCATAATTTATATTTATTTCCAAATTTTTTATGGTGGTTATGAGATCGGTCAAAGTGACCCAACCCATACAAAGATACAGTAGTGAAAATAATAAATAAAATATGAATTTTTTTTATACAAAAAACATTTGATAATTATCTAGAAGTTATAAAGATTTTGTATGTAAAATTTGTAAATTTTTTGATGCAAAAAGTATTTTTAATCTTAAAATCAAAATTACTTTGTATGTTGGATAGTCAACAAATAAAAAGAAAAAAGCATGAGAAAAACATTACTGTTTGCTTCATAACACATGACATTCTAATTCTGCATACATTTCTTTTGTGTGTGAGGTTAAATATACGAGGTATTAGTAGATGTATACTTAATGATCTATAACTAAATAGGCCTATAATGCTATATTCAGAATTAAATGTTAACTCAAACTTACCAAAAAATGTCACGTCTGTGTAGAATTTATTTGTGAAATGTATATGTTAACAATAGATGCACAATTGCTGTTTCAAGCACCTTCATGTGAGAGAAATGTGACCTTTGCAGTGAACGAGGTGGACAAACAAGCAAAGAGCTTTTGAGTTTTATATATAGATTAAGGAGAGAATTTAACAGGATTCTTGTGCCAATTCACTTGTAACATTGAAATATGGAACATTAAGATTACATACATAGATTTAATGTTTTATGTTTTATAATATAAAACTACAGCAAGCCAATCATTAGAAAAACAACAATAAAATTCACATAGAAAAACTACTTAGTTCAACAAGATCAACTTTAAGAAACATCCATGTGATCCAAAAACCTTTATTCAAAGCTCACCTCATGGAATTCCCATGCAAATGGATCATCACAGGAACCAACTTCATCCTCTCCTCCTTCAGAAGCTTCAGATGTAGAATCTGAGCTGTAACTGTTGCAGTCAGTATTGGTGATTATTGGCCATTCTAAATCAGATGTCTGAGGCTGAAAATATGGTCTCTTAGTTAGTTGACTACAGTTACAATTCTCTATAAAGGCTTGTAGGATAAAATATAACAATATATTTAAAAGTCCTGGGGAAAATCCTATTTCTAAAAGAAATTTGTGTGTAAAACTGCATCTTCAAAAAAAAAAAGTATTCATAAATAAAAATAAGAAGTAGTTGTAATTTAATTTAATTATATTTAAAAATGATGCTAAAGAATTTTATTTTCACCTTGGTAGGAGTATTTGGACAAGTGGTGTCAACTTCTGATTCACAAGAGCTATAATGCCCCCTTTCAGTAATTGGGTGAGGTGAAAGATGAAGTAAACTTGATGTATCTCTTCGTTCTTGGATACTGTTAATGACATTAGACTTTCTATTTTTTGTGTTTAAGTCTAGGGAAAGGCCTATCTTGTTTCTTGTTCTAGGAGTAACCCTGCTATCTTCTGAATACCTTCTACATGATTTCTCAAACTGGCTTTCACTCTCGGCTTCCAACGTAGTTCTTCTCCTATTCTCAACTGTGTCAGAAAACCTTCGCCATATCAAGGTTTTTTCATCATTATCATCTTCCCATGTCTGATTGGAGTTAATGGATTTTAAAAAATCTTGCTCCGGCCAATCAGGCCCCAGTTCTTTAATGTCTTCTATATCAAGCATCACATTTTTGGATGAAGGCTTATCAGTTTGTTGGTATTTCACAGAGCATTCTTCTTTTAAATTGGTGATGTCATCCTGCTGTACTAGAATTTGTGGCACATCTCGGTCTGCCTCAGATGCACCATCCTCATCACTCCTCTTAGTCAAGCTCTGTAGTACATCTTTTGTGGGAGCTGTGGGTAGGGATTGAGCATCAGTAAAAACACTAGCTGGAACAACTTTAGGTTTGGAGTTTTTTTGTCATCCTGTTCTACCTCGATAAAACCACTACTCTGACCATCACAGCAGAGATTTGAACACTGAGGTGCATGTTGACCAAAATTAAATATTTCATTCTCTACAGGAGATTCTGCTAGATCTATACTGTCTAAACCACTTTCTTCATCTGAGTTCTTCAGTCTATTAGAAGAAGCCACTCTTAGAACATTACGGTTCCCTAAGAAAACAAAGAACAGCAGCATTGCATCATGTTCTAGTTATACGTACAATCATTAACACACAAGCACATCTGATCATGTAAACCAAATCTGATAAAACATTTGTTAAAGCAGTTTCCAATTTGAAGTTAGCTGGTGAGGCAGTTACATTTGGATAAATGACATCATGATACAGGCAAATGAAGCACTCATTAGCAATATTAATGGTGTCTTGCTACAAGTTGTGAGACATATCAATAAATTTACATGTGCTATTTATACAGTATCTACTGTATTAACTGATCTTAGCATCGATCAAGTTCACCTGCTCCAATCTACTACTATTACAAAATTATTATTGATTTTCAAAATAATTTACTATATAGATATACTTCTGACTGATCATTAAAACAAACTGTAAATGCTGTGGCATGTGAACTTGCCAATCTACAATACCAAATCTCCTTACATATAAACCTTTTACTGCACATCAGTTCCTTCACTAATTTGAACACATGAATATATATATATATATATTTTTTTTTAACTCATATATTACAAGACAGCCATATATCAAAAAGTTTGTATATTTCTTTTCTTCTTTATAATACGTTAACTTAGACTGTTGTAGCTGATGTAGAATTACTGAGCCACTAGTACACTACAAGGGAGAACAAGATTTAACATTTCCACTTCACCTTAACAAATGAAGAGTAAACATAAATTATAATCCTCCAAAACATATTTCAATCTCACTAGGCTCAATATTAACAAAGAATTAGTGTCAACTAATAAAAAATTTTAAATGATGGTAGTGTATAAACATAAATTAACCATTTATGTACTAAATTCTTTTAACTCTGATATTTTACAATAATTACAAATACTGGCTCAAAGTATTTTGTTTACATTATTTTTTTTTGCAATTTAGCATCACTACTTTATGGTAAGCTAAGACTAATACATTTAGAAGAAAAACATTAAGCTAACAGTGAAGTAATTTTAGTTTAACATAATTGTAAATGCTTATAGGCTCATTTTCACAAAAAGCTTTCATCATAAAATAATCCAAATTCACACTATAGGACTAACTAAACTCAAAAAATAATCCTTAGGCCTAATACAGAGGATGAGTACGCTGTGTTAAAAATATTTTGATAACATCCTTAAAACCATCTCACCAAATCCAGTCATTCTCTATCTGATGAACATGCATCTTGACAATAGTCCTGCAGCATAGTTTCCATTGCAAAAAATCTCTGTCATAAGGTTTTTAAGTCCAATGACACCACTCCACCCTGTAGGCTTTCCACACTCCAACTAGTGTAAGAGGACAACAGTTTCCTAGTACTCATTTCAGCAGTCTAATCACAAAAAAAAATCCAAAGGCACTGCATCTGTCAACTTGACCAATATTTGTTCACATGGAATAACATGAATACCAATTTCATTCTCCAGCTGCTTGAGATATGTGATTGTTAAATGGGAGGTATAACTTGAAGCCTAATCTAGGTGAGCCCATAACCTATTGGCTATATTTCCAGATGGAGAATCTTCTTGATTATATTGCATATATTGGAACACATGAATGGCTTTTGCCATTGATCTTTGCATTAATGGCTTCTCACAAGATTTGTTGCAGGTCTCTTTGTGGATGGTCTTGGTTTTCCAAGTTGATCCATATATCTTAGTTTTCCATTGCCATTAAGTACAAGGGATATTCTAGTTTTGGAAATTTTAAACACTTGATCTGAACATATTTTTTGATCTGATGTATGAATATTTTGCATTGGAAAAGGCTGTTACATACCTTTCCCAAAAGCAATAAATATTCAATGGCATCACATTACTTACAAAATGCTCAAAAATGTCAAAATATACTTCCAATATATTCTATTCCAATACAATTCCATACATTACTTGTGGTTGTCACATTACTTGCTGATTTGCATATTTAAAATATTTTTAATATACTCAACCCTCTGTACTCTATTGAAACCTCAATGATTAGGCTTAAGGCTAAATAAAAGATTTTACAGCTGCTTACTGTTTAATTTTTCATTAGTAATGCATTTAGCATTTTAGAGTTAAAGTACACAGTGTAAAATAAAAATAAAATAGGCCTAAAATATTGTTACGTCTCCGTTTGTTTAATTAACTTCCCGTAAACTTCGTTCCGACGAAACTTTAGACGACACAAGTATTTACTTAATAAAACTGTTATTCTTTCCGAATATA